GCGGCGAACCGTGGCCAGTGGGACCCACGATCGGCCGAACCTGTGGATACTGTAGGTAAACAAACCAGCCCAGCCCGCCAGGGGCTTTCCCTGAACAAAGACCTGTTCCAAAGGCTTTGGCAACAGTGATGTCAGTCTTTAAAGCTGTCCAACACTGCCATCTCCTGGCAAGTCAGTATACAAACATTTATCAAAAAGAGCAGGAGTACTTGTGGCACCTTAGAGACTAACAAATTTATTAGAGCATAAGCTTTCGTGGACTACAGCCCACTTCTTCGGATGCATAAACCAAACATTTATCAGTGTGCAGAAAACAGGGGTGGAGGAGAAACCGCTGCGATAAAGGGCCAGCTCTTCAACTCGTGTAAAGTGCCCTCGCTCGGCTGTCGTCCATTATTTAAAAGCAGCCGTGCTCCTCGGTTTGCTTTGTATTAGGAAGCATAAACGGTGGTTCGGGACTAACTCCTCTGCTGCTCTGGAGCAGAGCATGGCACAGAGGAGATTGGGACGGGGGAAGGTGAATTCAAACCCCGTCCCTGCAACTGGTTGGGGGCCAAACTAGAGCGAGTCTGAATGACCTGAGGGCTGCTTTAGCTTCCATTGGCTTGAAATAAGCCCCTCGGGGTCACTACACTGACCGGGCTCGCCAAATCACAGTGCACTCCAGCCCTGCCCCCAACACATCTCTGTCTCGGGTTCAGAGGAGACCATGGGCACCAGGTTTGTATAATTTTTGGTGGTGCCCAGAACAGGTCCAAGCAGAGCTCTCCCATCCATAGGATAGACCAGGGGAACCGCCTCAGGTCCTGCGCTTTGAGGTGTCCAATCCTTCAGAGGGACGCGGGGTCCAGGGCTGCCTGTGGGGCTGGCACCACCAGCAGCGAGTGACCCGGCCCCAGCCTGCCCCGCTCCTCCCTGCCGGCGCCCGGTGTCACTTGGGGGAGTGGGAGGAAGCCGGAAAGAGGCGGGACGTGGGGGAAAGGGTGGAGTGGGGGCGGGGAGGAGAAGAGGCAGGAAAAGGTGGGGGGAGGGCGTAGCAGAGCAGGGCGGGCTGGGGCTGGGTCGTTTGCTGCTGCTAATGCTGGACCCCTGCTAACCCTCAAGGCCATCCCCCTGAAGTGCGGGGCCCCCCAAAGCGTGGGGCCTGGAGCGGTTGCCCCAGTCTGTCCCATGGACAGGACAGCACAGCTTTGAAAAAATAAGCCCAAACATTGGTGAGGCTGGGCCCACATTCCTGAATATTGGTGGAGCACAGGCACCACGGTCCCATATAACTCGCTGCCTATGGAGGAGACAGCTATGGCAGCAGTTCCAACCCAGGAGAATTCTCAGCTGCCCTTTTAGGGCAATTTTAGTGTCCCGGCGTGCTGCTTTGGCAGTGCAAAGAGGCTGGAATCTGGCCCTCACTTACAGGCTTAGAGATATTTTAAACAACAGTGCGAATACAGATATAAAAGCACCATATTTGTATATTTTTTGTATATAGATGCATAGCATATATATATACACATACACACACACACACACATCCACATTCATCCCTGGTATCAATGGAGTTACACCAGGGATACATTTTGCCTAGTCAGTTTGAGTCCCCATTTGAGACAATCCAAATTTTGAAGCTGGTGAACTGAAGCACAGAATGATTAAAAGACTTGCCAGAGGTTACTCAGGAAATCTGTGGCAGAGCAGATAATTAAGTGAATCCTCATTAACTGAATCTTTGTCTCATTTATTAACAGCAAAATTTACCAATAACTTAGCATTAATTGGTATTATAAGTACTATTACTAGCATGTAAGCCTCTGACTGCCAGGTACTAGGACTAGATGATATTCAATAATTGCCCTGTTCTGTGTATTGCCTCTGAAGCATCTGGCACCAGCCAGTGTTGGAAGAAAGGGTATTGGGCTAGATAGGCCATTGGTCTGACCAGTATGGCCATTCTTATGTATCTGCATTGTATATCTTCAAAGGGTCATGTAACACCAACAGACCCTGGTCATCAGAGGGCAGGATTGAACCTGGGACCTCTGGAGCTAAATACATGAGCCTCTACTGCATGAGCTAAGTGCTACCTGGCTCTTAGCTAAGGCTGTAGAGCAGATTTATTTTCTCTCTCTCTAAGCGGTCTCGGTGCCACTAGATGGGACAGAACACCACACCC